AAAATGCAGATTTCCAGTTCACTAAAAAGTGGAAGTATTGCTCGAGCGGTCGTTTGTCAAAAAATCTATGTTCATTTTCATAAATAATTGTGGTTCAGGTCTGAGTTGCTAACGATTTTTGGGTTCAGGAGCTGCTTGAGGCTATGGTTGGGGAGCTAGAGAGCTGAATTTAAAGCTTTTTTCTCGCATGTGCGTAGAGAATATCCCTGCAAAGTTTCAGCTTTCTACGTTGTCTGGGTCGCGAAATCGTTTCCCGCCAATATACTTCTTTGGGGGTCCTGTACGCGAAGTCTAGGCGCGTACGGGGAAAGGTCTTAAAATGGGAGGATGACACACGGGGTAGAAACATATATCCAAAGTTTCAGCCTCCCAGCTTTCCTGGTTGCTGAGATGAAAGTGGGTGACAAAATGCACTCGCTTTCCAGCCCCCCAGCTTTCCTGGTTGCCGAGTTGAAAGTGGGTGATAAAATGCACTCGCATTGCGAACATACACACAGACAGCCTCTCGACAGTATGCGTTTTTGCTGGCTGTAGCAGCGCTATAGCGTTTTTTATGCGTTTTTGCTCAAAAACGCATAAAAAACGCGTGGCTGCAACATACGTGGTAAATCCGTTCACTCAATCTGACTTTACTGTGCAGTGCAACATACTTTCAAAAAACACCAGGGCTCCCTAGGAACCATTTTTCTGTTGTTGTTTCTCGTTACCGTAATAAAACACAGGAGTGTATGTAAATCCACTGGACAAACCGGGGACTTGTTTTAAGTGGTTTGTTTAACTGGGCACCGCTATGAGTACAATGTGTCCATGATGTCCAGTGAATTGCACTGCCAACAAAATCTTTCCATCTTTGCTCAACACACATTTAATGACATTTCGAAACTATGTTTCCAATCTGATTGACTACCGTCGTCAAATTCAGATGGTGCTAATTTTCGTTAATTGCCTTACAGACGCTTACTTCTAAACCAATACATCAATTGTAGGAATCCCTAGGTGTCAGTAATCCCGTCGAGTAACGGCTGAATAGTGGAAAACTCGGGGTGGTAACCCGTAGAAACTTTATCCTTCGAGTTCTTTTTTCTTGAGTAACTGCGGTAGCGCGCCTTCAGTGAATCAGCATGAAGCTGAGTTAAGAAGCTTCATCAATGCCGAAGCTTCCGTAAATCAGTTGCATGCCCCTTCTAGCTGCAGTGTTAAGCTGAATGTACAGCGACGGCACGAACACTGTTGCATGGGGCTTCCATTGGGGTCCTTTCAAGCTAAAAAACGAATGAGCAACGACGCCTTCGCTGAGAAATCAGGAAAGTCAAAGCAGCCATTGAGAGATTACTAACATTACCGAGTA